AGGATTTGCAATGGCTTTCTCTGTTGTGAACCTGGATGTGTTTCACCATCCCTTGTTCTTCTCATTAGGCCAGGTTGCACCTCTGCAAACAATTCCTTCATTAAACTCATTCAATTAACCCTTTTGGTGGTTGCATCTGTTTCCAGCCAGGACACGGACTGGTGTACCACTTCTTGGTGCTCTTGCTCCCATTCTATGTTTCTAGCTTTTAGGGTCCTCCACCTAGAGCTTACCTTCTAGAAATGTCTTCATCTCAAATCTCTTCTTTTGATCAAAATTTAGTCTACCATATGTCTTATTTGGTGGAAGATCCACTAGAACTAGTCCTACCGGGAAGGTTATTCCGAGGATGCTAACTGTGTTATCTGTCCTGGGACATCTGAATTTTAAGGGCTTAGCCCTTTATAATTTCAGGCAAAACATTTCTAGACATGTAAATTCATATATAGGTGGTAAAGTTGATATTATCTATGGTGTCCCTCAAGTAAGCCAGGCTCTGAATGTGGGAGGAGGTCAGAAGAGCCAGTTAAACAAGAAGAAAAGTTGCTTGATCCAGTGTTTCCTAAAATACATACCTCAGAGCAATAGTCTTGCAAAAGGCTTTGAAAAAATAATAAAATAAAAGGATGTTTCTCTCATGAAATAATTTTTTGAAATACTGAGTATATCCTCCTCTTGAGAAGAGAAATTGTATATTAGCTCACTAAAGCTATGAAAGTTGTATTGGGTAAATAAACTGGATTTACTTTGAGCCGGTTGTGTTTCAAGTAAGAACAAAATTTTTCAGAATGCTCTGACTTTACTAATAGCCCTCTCTCCAGGGCATTACATAGAAATTTTTGTAATGGGGCACATTGTTTTCTTCTAGAAAATTTGAATACTTAAGCCTTTCACATATAGGAAGATGGACTGTATCTCCTATTAGCCATTACTGGTTGTTCCTGAATTTTATTTACTCTTTTATTTTAGCCTTTGATTTTCCAAGAATTCTGGTCCTATGGGGTTATGATAAGTATAATAAAAAGAGCTGAGAATCTTATGCCAAATCCATGCATTGTTCTATTGTTTTTTAACTTGTTTTAACTTTTCACTGGAATAATTGTTTTCTGGAGGATCTTACAGTGTAAAGTCAATGAAAATATGAATCATCAGTATAGTCTAATCAGATGCAATTGTAACACCATAATTAATTTGGAATAATTTCATAATTTACAACAGCATAATTGGAAGGACAAGGGTCCCTCCCCTTTTTTCATAAAGTGGTTTGCATACCAGCTTCAGTCGTGCTAAAGAATGATTTACCAGAATAAGGAAAAATCACACAGAGAGATAAGTTCTATTTGCATAAAACAAAGGTATTCCAAAGAGCCTTCAAAATAAGGAGGCGTCTTTTATTCCAACTATTTTATTTAGTGCATGTTACTGTAAATAATTTCAACGGTAGACAAATTTATAAAGTGTAAAGTGTAAGTCCCAGGTAATCCCCTGCTAGTAGCTACTGTTAATGGTTTGAAACCCCTTGAACTTTAAAATACATATTCATGTATGTGTGTGTATATAATATATATTTGTGTGTATATATACAGATATAAATAAATATACTGAAGTGATAAAGATTAAAATAAAATATAGATGATCATCCAAAAAGATTTGAAAACTGGGCTTCTTTCTATACTCTATAACCCATTTTTCTGAGTGTGTAAGCTCTGAATGGCAGCTGTCATTCTGACGTACTTTTCATTTTCTTTTGGCAACAAGACCTCAATTTTGTTGGCCTTAAAATTCTCCCTTCTTGACAGGTGCCCGTCAGAACTACATACCTTCCCCTCACATTTCCTACATTTTTAACTGCTTCAAGCTTGTCAGGACAGATCTGCTTAGTCCAGTTATCTACTAAACTTCATTTTGATAACCCAACTCATTAAAAAGTGCTACTGAAGCCTCATATTTATTTATTATTTGAACATGACTCATGAAGGCATCATTCAAATATCTGATTGTACTCACTAATGTATTTCATAACACACATAAATCCATACCTAGGCTTTTTTATGTTCTCATAATGTCTCAATGTGCTCAGCCACCTATATTTAATGAAAAGCTATCTTCCCACCCCCCTGGCAAATTTCAAACATATGTGGAGCTATCTAATGCACAGGCACAGACTTTCTGTGTGACCTTGAACAATCTTGCTCTATCTCCTGATTTTATAAATCTATAGAATGGGGAACCTTGTCATGCAGATTGCTTTTCAAAAATATTACAATAATTAGAAATAGTGCAGTGATTTGGATTTATCAACCTAAGTTGTACTATTTTAGAGATGCCAATCATGCATCATGTTCATGAACTCTGTTAAGCCATTAAGGAATCACTCAGCATGTATCACAGGCTGCCTTATTGACCTGAAGGAGTAGGATATACTCTTTCCTGGTCTCTGCCTGTCTCCTCTGCTCTTGACTTCCCCAGATCTCTGCAGACTGGTATGTGGAAGGTCACAGACTTGGGGCAGGGAAGCCCTTAGCCAGCTTTGGGTACTGTCACAACTGATTCACTTGGTTTGAATCTATCTCCCTGTTGGACTATCCTGAGACATACACCTCCTGGGCTAACCATAGGATTCCTGCGTTTGTACCTGAATTATTCTTACTAAAGCTGACCTTCTTCATATCCAAAGCCAATTACTGAATGCCCTTGTTTCTGGATTTGTGCTTTATGGTCAATCAGGGCTTCCTTGCTGCTTTTCTCTCCATCCTCCGCACTGTTTTTGCTCTAACAGGAGGTGCCTGCACATAAATCTCCAGTGCTGAGATCCCTTCTCTCTCTCTTTCTCTGGAGGCCCCAGCTAATACAAATGGGCATCTACTTTGCCCATGGTTCCATGTTCCTGCTTAGGTGATCTACACAGTTCCCTTTTGAGGCTGGGGTTTCTATCCTCCTGACCAGTTATCCCATCTTAGGTCCAAAGCTCAACCCTTCAAAACTGCCACACAGCTGGGCTCTCTTCTTTTGAATAAATCTCCAGTCCTGTGTCCCACCTAATTCTTGAATGAATCCTTCTAATTCTTTGTTGTCCTCTCTTCCCTACATGAACCTGAGACTTCTACTCCCTTGAGCTCTCAGTCTGTGGGTATCCACGCCTGCTTCCTACAACCTGTTACCCTGCTAATGGGTAGTGCTGAACAAAAAGTTCTCTGGCCAAATAGCTTTAGAAAAAGCTCTGTTAAATGGTTACTCAGTCTCACTTTTTGTAAGATTTACCTAAGCCTTTAATATACTAACATGAATCCATGAAGGTGAAAATAATAGTTCTTATAAATATATCTGTTGAAGGAGCATTTTTTCTCCAAATTTTCTGAAAGGCCTGGTGTTTTATGAAACACTTTTTGAAAATGCTTTTTTAGATTAGACTATGGTCTCTTTCCGTTTTACATATTCTGATTCAATAATGGTTCACAAGAAATACTTGGGGGGAAAGTGATTGAAGTGGAAAAATCTGTGTTTAGTCAACCCCATTCAAAGAATAAAGAAGCACTGTATTTTGATTACTTGGAGGTTGTTTTCTATAATAGAGCAAGGAGAAAGCAGAAGATTAACATTATTTTATTTATTCCATCCTTGTGAGAATATTTATTGAGACTTAACAGCATGCCAGACATTACTGTCGATGCTGGGGTTTTCATGATGGATTAGATCAGTACTCTCCCTGCCCCCAAGAATCTTAGAGAAATCAACAAGAGTAAGATATCCTGCATGTCATTTAATATTTTGTGCTGAGTCTGTGCGTCAGAGTTCTCATTTTTAAGTTTTCCTTCAAGTTCTTAAAGTTTGTGTACATCCCCTTTTGTAGTAAACTGGATTCAGGCTTGTCATTCTTCTATAATTAAAGAAAACTGGGGGAATCCATGAGCAAATATGCATAGGCACACAATATGCAGCAAATATATGTACACCAAAACACATACAAACCATACTCACAGATCCTGCCGAGATCATCTTTATCTGAGTAAAGGTAAAAATAAAACACACCAGGGGCGCCTGGGTGGCTTGGTCGGTTAAGCGACCGACTTCAGCTCAGGTCACGAACTCACGGTCCGTGAGTTCGAGCCCCACGTCGGGCTCTGTGCTGACAGCTCAGAGCCTGGAGCCTGTTTCGGATTCTGTGTCTCCCTCTCTCTCTGCCCCTCCCCTGTTCATGCTCTGTCTCTCTCTGTCTCAAAAATAAATAAACGTTAAAAAAAATAATAATAAAACACACCATTGACATATACATGCTATTTTTAGAGCACTGTCCAGAACACCTATATTTTAAAGTAACCAGGGGAACTTGTGAAAATGCAGATTCCTGGGCTCTGCTCCAAATATTCTGATTCAGTAGGGCTCAGGAATATGCATGCTAAAGTAGTGCCACTTAACATACTTATACACGCCAACATTTAGGAACTTCAGATTGCTGGTTGTGCACTGAGAGCGGGAGCTTGTTGCCAAGCGGCCCTATATTGGACAGAGGGACTTACCTCACGCTGGTTGCAGTGAGAGTTGTCAGGATAGAAAGCAGGCACCGGGTCTCCCAGTGCGACCAGGTAAAGAAGGCGCCTGCAACATAGCAATGTTCAGAAAGCACCAATCCCTTTTCCTCCATGGTGCCTCAAAGAAAACACAGCTAACAGCTATGCACACCTGGGCTTCTCACTGTTTCCTCCCTAGTGTCAGATGTTTTACTTTGTTTCCTTGTGAACTCGTAAGGAGATCCCTGGATTCTCTCCAAAGAGATGGGAGATCCACCCCCAGGCTTTGCTTTCATTATTATTTTTAAATTAGATTCAGGTATTGATAGAAATCCAAATACCAGAATGCAGAGGCTTGTGAGATTGGTCTTGTCACGTAACACAAAAATTCAAGAGCGTACTGGTTTCAGATCAAAACTCTAGAAGCCTCCATCACCACATTTCCTGTTTGTAACTGAACAAAGTACACACGAAAGATTTCAAGACACAGAAGAGAGAGAAAACTGAGGTACAGTTAAAGACAAGTTTTACTGGCACATTACTTCTAAAGCGACAGAGCAACATTACTGAGGAAAAAAAGTTTGTGGGAGCATTTTTAATCCATATATTTGCCTTATGGTTACATAAGGATTTCTCTGAGGAAAGAAGCATGCCAGGTAAGCGGTATTTTTAATTCTTTTGTTCTATTCCTATGCCTATAAATTCACTAAATAATTTCCATGTCCCCATCCAAAAAACACTTAACATTTGGGAAGTAAATCAGTTACATGTTATTTTTAAAGTGTGAGATAGCCTTTAGTATAATTAGAAAATACTTTAAAATATTTTACTGAATATAAGTTGATTATTTTCTCTTAAAAGAAAAAAATGGGAGGTTTTATAATATAAAGCTAGTTGTAGCTTTCACTGGTGTTCACTGATAACTATGGCATTTAAAGTATCTGTTATTTTTAAAGGAACTTGTTGATCATGCGTATTCCTCTTTAGTTTAGTTATAAAGCTGGTTAGTACTAACCACATTCTAATTCCTTTGAGTTTAGGGATTTTATTACCTTCCCAGACATTAATCCAATTGTCAATATCAGAGAGCTGACCATTCTGCAAAGGCCAGTGAAAATTCGATTGCTTGCAGCATGGATTACAAGGGTTGAATCCCCATCGATTAGCTGGATGTCTGTTCCATGTTGATAGTTCATTCCTCTTTCATTGTTTTACATACTTTTTATTTCTTTAATAAAAATATTTTTGTTGTAAAAGAAACCACACATATAAAGTGGGAGAACTATGAAACATACATGAAAAAGAAAAAAATTTCCACAGCTCCCATCACCTTAAAAATTATAAGATATTATGTTGTATTTCCTTCCTACTTTTATTTCTATACATTCTATATGGTTTGCTTTTCCTACATGAAATAATAATGAACATAAAAATCATATGTCTAGATTTTTTGCTAACATTAGAACGTAACTACTTCCCTTTTCATGAAAACTTCTGCCTAATCATTTTAGATGAATGTAGACTATGACATTCATTGGGTTAATAACAGCTTCCTTAGTTGTTTTTTTATTGTTTGACATCTGTGTTGTATCCAGTTGTATTATATTTAAAATGACAGAAAGTTGAAAATCTCTATAGCTTTTTCCATATTAAAGGTTATTTTCTTGGAAATTCTAGAGTTGGAATTACTGAGCAAGAGGTTATGAACACTTTAAGTCTCATTATTACCAAAATACTTTTCTAAGACTGTTACCAAGTAACTTTCATCCTAGCGTGTGTCTCCTGAACAGTTTGGTATCATCTAAAAAAAAAAAAAAAAAAAAAAAAAAAAAAAAAAAAAAAAACTTTACTGAAAAAGTGTAATATGCTAGCCTATTGATAATACTTACTTTGATTATAATAAGGCTGAACACTTTTACATGGGTTTTTAAACTATAATCATACAATTTGTGCATTGTCTGATTACATCTTTTGCTTAATTATTGTGCTTTATCATACTTTTAAGATCAATTTGTATGAGCCACTTATTGGGTAAAGATATTATATATAATCCGTGAATTTGCTTTCCAATATTTGGTTTGCCAAATTTTAAAAACAATTAATTGGATTAATCACACAGCTGATTAATCGCATGATACCTACGTAGGATACATACAATTTTCGCACCTGTCTTCACTTTTTTCCAGGTTCATAGATTAGCAAAGAACAAAATCAATTGTTGCAGTTTTGCTATGCCCTGGAAAAAACAGACATGGCAGTACTATTAACAGTGGCCATGAGCTGATGGTGTTGGGGAACTCAGGAAGTGTGGGAAGGCCAAAGGCAGTGAATATGGCATTCAACTATTTCCAGGATTACTTAATTCTAATTTTACGATAGATGTGATAAAATTTCTTTCATACCATTTCCAAGTTTAGATTTTCCCTTTAGAGGTAACATAGGAGTTCCTCCATTGTCAGTTGAGAGCTTCTGCAATTCCACGGAAGAGATAAAAATACCAAATGTTTGCTGTTAAAGACTCAGATCTTAAAAGGAGAGGGGGAGAATAATGTGAAAGAAGAGAGTCAGATGATAATATGTTTTACATTTAGACAGGCGAGGTTAAAAAAGAAAATAAGTGTGAAAAAGTGAAATTATTCCTGGTTAAGTAAAATGAGGTATGAAAAGAAAAAATGCAAATCTTTCCTTTTCTTCTACCTACATGCTTTATATTCGCTGCATCAATCAATGGGCCAGTATCATAATTCCTACTGTGTTTCTGCATGCTCATAAAATCAGTATTAGCTGAATCAAATGGCAAAAACAATTCCTGTGGTCTACCCTTGGCTTAAAGAGTGTGCCACGATTTAGTTACACATTGCTGTTTTTCAAAAAAAGAATTTTCATTGTTTTTACTCGGTTTTCTTTTCCCTTGAGCCTCAATCTCCTTTTTTGAGGACAGTAAGCCTTTCCTTTAGAGACTAGGTAGGACTAATTTATGAATCATCTTTTATTTTTTTTTTTAAATTTTTTTTTCAACGTTTTTATTTTTATTTTTGGGACAGAGAGAGACAGAGCATGAACGGGGGAGGGGCAGAGAGAGAGGGAGACACAGAATCGGAAACAGGCTCCAGGCTCTGAGCCATCAGCCCAGAGCCCGACGCGGGGCTCGAACTCACGGACCGCGAGATCTTGACCTGGCTGAAGTCGGACGCTTAACCGACTGCGCCACCCAGGCGCCCCATGAATCATCTTTTAAACTGAGATGTTCTTTAAATTAAAGATGGGTCAAAGACAATGTGTTTCATCATTTAATTTAGTTAATGTTTGCAGTGATTTTAAGGAAAGTCAATTCGGGAAAGATTGTCACTTACTAATCATAACTATGAGAAATAAATGTGCACAAATTGCTAGTTAATAATAAATATCATTACCCTCAATCCAAGGGTTTGTAAAATTAAAAAACAAAATAATCATCATCATTGTCATTATCATCAGCATCATTACTGGTCACATTTCTAGGCATTTTAAATTTCATTTAATTTTCTCAGTATTCCCAAACTAGAAAGAAGAGATAAAAAAACTAACAGGCCTTCTTAAAACATTAAAGTAACATAGTAGTTAAAATTTTGTTGGATGAAAATTCCCAACAACCAGGGCATCTTCCGAGGATATCACCAAGGTGCTTCTCCAACAGAAAACAGTAAGTACAGAAATAAAATGAAGGAGTAAATATAGGAAAAGAAAGACTCATCAACAGCAGGGATTTTGGCAACACTTCAATCTTAATAGGATTTCTCAAGTTGACCAATCCTAATTAGAGTTTAATTATAAAAGTGCCAAGTAGCCCAGTATTGGAGGAATTATACGGTCTTAAAATCTGCCCCCACCTCACTCCACATGTATGCTCTCTAACAAATTCAGTAAGTGTTGCTAAAGAGCAACCATGATGTACTAGAAAGAGGGATCTTGATATCACACAGATGGGGAATCGGACCTCAAACTTTACAATTGGTTTAGTGAGGTTCAGTGATATGTAAGAAGTCACACAGCTCATAAGTGACTACACTCATTCTTTCTCTGCACTTCAAAGCAGACATTCCAATGCCCTATATTGCTGTCGTCCGTCTCTCCATCATAGTCCTTCCTCAACATACACCACCCACTTTTCAAATAACCCTCTGGTCACAAAAGACACGTATTGAAGGTTGACAGATTTCAAATTTGGCATTAAAAACAATATTTTATTTACTCAAAAGCCTGGGAGTAGATTTGAGAATCCCTTCCAGTGCTTCTATCTATGACTCTAATGCCTTTTATTGATGGGGTGATTGTGATGTAAGTGGTGGGGGAGGGGGGTGGGATTTGTGGATACTGACAATGTGTCACAAAGAGTCATCAAGAATGCATCTAGTTCCACACCAAACTATCATCACGGTAAGAAAATTGCTGTATAGTAGAATCCATGGGGATTGTTATATCAGAACTTTTTCTTTGAACTTTCTGGGGTGTCTAAAGTAGATATACACATTCACGGGATGCAAAAAGGAGAAGGTCACTGCTCTGACAGAGTTTGCAAGCCAAGAAAGAGAAACCGTCATGAAAAGCCATATCTTATATACTATAAACGTGTGCACTTGTCTCAGTTACAGACTCCCTGAAGGAGAAACAATTAAGGCATTATATGTATTGCTTTTCTGTTGTTAATTGTTTAAATAAAGGCTTCTGTAGGAGTCATATCTGTCAGCAGAAAGACAATACATTTGCTTTAGCTAGGCTTCCCTCCAGAGTACATGCAAGTGTGAATTCTAAATACAGTGCCTGCCAAGTACTCTTGGCTTTAAGGGAGTCAGAGGTCTTATAATTAAAGCTACTACTATTAACCCTTGGCAGTTGAATGCTATATAGAAACTTAAATTATGGTTTTCCTAGCTGTCATTGCCTCACTGATAACTTCTTGAGGCCTTTGGCTTTTTAACAGTGTAATAGCTAAATTCAAATTGTGTGGGAGTTCTTTTTAAATTGATAAAAGCTTTTTAAATGAAAGTAACTATAATTATGGAATAATAATAGTAAAGATTGCATTTGTTGGGCAAGAATTTTTGAGCACTTTGTGAATCCAGCATTGTAAGAAGCATTATCTGTACTGAACAGATATCCACATGCATCTGGAGATATACTGAATATGGATAAAGGGAGGTATGAAAGTGCGTGTGCATGTGTATTCGCATCTATATGGATCTGCCGTTCAAGTTGAAAATCTCCACCATGTAGCTACTCAATACCTTCTCATCTGTGTATGTTTTTTGTTTTTCAAAATGGGGGCATTTGTTGACAATCAAAAAATTATGAAAGCTGGGGTGCCTGGCTGGCTCAGTCATTATAGCATGTGACTCTTGATCTCAGGGTTGTAAGTTTGAGCCCCACATTGGGTATAGAGATTACTTAAAATTAAAATATAAAAAAAACTATTAAAGCTAAGAATGTCATGAAATAACAAAGCTTCTAAATGAAAAGCTTCCTGTTTAAAACTCAGATCACATTACACAAGGAAAAAAATCTTGGAAAACAGAAGTCTAGATAGGGAATTGCAGACCCCCCAAATCAATAGGAAAACCAGAAACTATGCTAAGTATACCCTACCCTTCAGAATTTGGCCTGTGTTTTGGCCTTACTG